GCCCAGCTAATTTTTGTATTTTTAGTAGAAACAGAGTTTCAACATGTTGGCCAAGTTGGTCTTGAACTCCTGACCTCAGGTATCCATCTCGGCCTCCCAGAGTGCTGGGATTACAGGTGTGAGCCACCCTGCCCAGCCTTGTACACTTAATTCTGTTTTTATTTGTTTTTAGAGACAAGGTCTTCCCCTGTCACCCAGGGTGGACTGCAGTTGTGTGATCACAGCTCACTGCAGCCTCAAACCCCCAGGCTCAAGGGATCCTACCACCTCAGCCTCCTGAGTAGCTGGGAGTAGAAGCGTGCATCACCACACCCAGTTAATTTTTAAATTTTTTTTGTAGAGGGGTCTCCCTATGTTGCCTAGAATGATCTTGAACTCCTGGCCTCAAGTGATCCTCCTGTCTCAGCCTCCCAAGTGCACAGATGTGAGCCACTGTGCCTGGCCTTATTTCTATGTTTTTAGAACAGCCCTTCGTGCTAAGTGCCTGCTCTGTGACCTGCAACCGGATGTTCATCCTCAAGTCCTCTGGGGTTGGTCGTCCTGCTCTCGGCCTTGCCACTGCCCCTCTATGCCTTGGTTTCCCTCATGTGCGGGGCCTAGAGTACCTGGGAGGTCCGTGTGTACTCTTCATAGAGCTGGTCATACTCGCGGCTCTTGTCCTGGTACTGCTGGTGATAGACCTTGAGCTGGGCGCCCACCGCCTCCACGCTGTCCTCCTTGACGATCTGGTCCTGGAAATACATGGGGGAATCAGGGGAGATGCATGGCCTGGTTGGGTCTTTCTAGGAAACTGAGGCCTGGGGCCGGCCAAGTGCTACCCTCCCTGGCTCCCAGGTCAGCACGGACCTGCTGGTATTTGGACACAGGGTAGAGGAGCCGTGTGTCCAGCTTGGCGTTGTACTGGGCCAGCGACTCGTGGCGGTAGTGATTGATGAGGTCCACGACGGAGCAGAAGGTGAGGGGCTCTGAGAAGCCGTAGTGCCCATCTCGGTGGAAGACCTTGATCAGTTTATTGTTCCCGCCTTTCCTGGTGTAGGAGAGGGGGTGTTGGCACCCAGTGGGACCCAGCACCTGACCCTCAATCCCCATCCCCCCTTTTTTTTTTTTGAGTCTTGCTCTGTTGTCCAAGCCACAGTGCAGTGGTGCAATCTCGGCTCACTGCAACCTCCGCCTCCCGGGTTCAAGCGATTCTCCTGCCTCAGCTTCCTAAGTAGCTGGGATTACAAGCGTCCACCACCATGTCCGGCTAATTTTTTAATTTTTTAGTAGAGACAGGGTTTCACTATGTTGGCCAGGCTGGTCTTAAACTCCTGACCTCAGGTGATCTGCCAGCCTCAGCCTCCCAAAGTGCTGGGATTACAGGTGTGAGCCACCGCGTCCAGCTCCCCATCCTTGAAACTGCACATGTCCCATCATCCCTCTGAACTCCCAGTCTCCATGACCTGTGACCCCCGGCCATCCTTACAGGGATAGGCCCCCACCTGAGGGTCAGCGTGTACTCGCCCTGGATCTTGCTGGAAGCATCTCGGACTAGGAAGGTGCCATCGGGAGTGTCCCGGAGTTTCTCGTTCACCTCCTCCCTGTGGGGACATCCAACATTGGGATTGCTGAGCTACCTGGAGACCCTGATTGACCTGTGACAAGTCCTTGGTCCCTGACCCCCTGCCAGCAACCTACCTTGAAATGTCCCCCCAGTACCACTCGGCATCCTGCAGGGAGGGTGGACTCCCTCCATTCGCCAGGCCTGCAGGGGCCAGCTTTGCCTTGGGGGGTTTAGGCGGCAGCGCTGAGGGACAGGAAAACAAATGCATCCTGAGCACTAACTGGATACTGTGGCTGCCTCCCACTGCGACCGGCCTGCTGACGCTGGCGGCATCCAGGAATCAGCAATCACGGCCCTCAACGGGAAGAAATGACAGCAATATAGGGGACTCACCTGGGGGCGCAACCTCCTGCTCTTCCAAGTGTTCCTGAAGCAGCTTCTCCACCAGCAGTGCCGGGAAGTCAGGACTGGGCTCACTCCTTAGGGGGAAGGGGAGTGCGGTGAGGGCTGGGTGGGGCCTGTCTGCCCACACATGTGCACAGGCGTTTGCACGCCTGGGGGTATATACGAGACGGTATGTGCAGGGGGGAGGAGGAGATGATACAGGCACAAGTGCGAGGCCAGCTCCCTCATAGCTGTATGCAGTAAGTGCTCCATAAATCCTCACACAAAGGCGAGCAAGAGAGTAGTACTGGAGCTACGATGAGCAGAAGGGAAGGTGCAGGCTCCACCCACATGCTTCGGGACTAGGCCCCTTCACCTTCTGTCTCATGACTCAGGAGCCCAGGTGCCCTCTCCATCATCACAAGAACGCAGCTTTTCACTCACTCTGGACCCCCTCCCCTCCCTTCTTAGGGTCCAGACGCTGCTCACTCTGGCCATGCCCCGCCCACCCCATCCCAAACTCCACCCCTGCTCGCTCCGGCTGCGCCCCGCCCCTCACCCGTCGGGA